GCCCATTCCAAAAACCAAGAACAAACAACCACTCTGAGCATGCCTGAGCTTGTTTTGTTAATAAGTTGGCTAGCTAGATTTTATAACTGGTCTCATCTCTCTGGTTATGGGGGTCATTTTCTTATCTTTTGATACAAGAAAAAGAATTTTCCTAAAATATGCTAATAGATGAGTGTGGTAAACAAATGACATTGCAGGACAAACATGACTCACCATGTGTTTCTAAGCAACACAAAGAGAAAAGGTGAAATGCTGCTAGTTATCCCCAGAGCTTTCACATAGTGTCTACCTTATACCTAAGAGGCTGTTTTCAGAAATGAAATGACCTATGACGCTGGAGGGGCAAACTGAAGCCTTCATTTTATTCAGGCAAAGTTATGTTAGCTCTCTGTTGCCACAGCAAGCTTACGTGACTTTGCTCAGTCACTATTTCTAAAAAAAGAAAGCAGTGTGGCTGTGAATGAGGTCTGCCCATGCCATCCCCTGCCAGTTCCACCATGTCTCCATCTATTCAGCTCGCAGACTTAGTGTGTGACCTTGTGATGCACGTGACGTCCAAGTAATTGTTTGAAAAGTACACAATTCCTTCAAGAAACACTAGTTTACCAGTTACACTGATTTATTTCTTCCGAATTCATTTAGGTTCATAGATAGGTCAATCGGCTTTGGGCTCAGGTGCATATCTGTAATATCATTATTGCTATTCACATGTAATAAAATCAATTTTTAATGATAACTGAATAATATTGATTAAATTCTTGTACTTTCTAAAGTCAAGTATATATGGAGGGTCACCAACTACTTTACACTCACAGACACTGTAGTCATCTTTTCTGATGCCTTTTGGTGAGGTATATGCAATGTATTCCTAGGTAATCCTTTCTAAACGTGTGGGAGAATTTTATCTACTAGATCTAGATCTTTTTTTTTAAAGATACTTCATTTATATTGAAAAAATGTGTACTTTCTGTCCAGCTTTACTGAAGTATGATTGACAAAAATTTTATACATGTAAGGTGTACAAAGTGATGTTTTTATACCTGTAATACATTGTGAAATGATTGCCACAATCAAGCTAATTAAAATATCTCTCGCCTCACTTAATTACCCTTTTTTGTGTGGTGACAACACTTGAGATCTACTCTCTTAGCAAACTTTAAGTATCTGATGCATTATTATTAACTATAGGCACCATGCTCTATGTTAGGTCTCCAGAACGTATTCATCTTATAACTGAAAGTTTGTACCCTTGACCATCTTCCCATATCCCCACTCCCAACCCCTGAAAACCAACACTCTACCTCTGTTATGAATTGGATGTTTTTAGGTTTCACATATAAGTGAGATCATGAAATATTCATCTTTGTGTGGCTTATTTCACTCTAGGTTTATCCATGTTGTTGCAAAAGGAAGCATTTTTTTCTTTTTTAATGCTGAAGAATATTACACTATATTTATATGTATAATTTTCTTTTTTTATCTGTCAGTGAACACGGGTTATTTCTACATCTTGTCTATTGGGAATAATGCTGCAATGAACATGGGAGTGCAGGTATCTCTGCAAGATCCTGGTTTCTTATTCTAAATATTGGGGATTGTGATGAATAGGGTAGTGGAGACAGAGATTGCTGGCTGATTCCCAACAGGCAAGTGCTTCTTTTCTTCTGGGTAGACTACATTTCTTTTTTGTACTTGCAGTTGGGTGTGGCTATAAGAGTTTTTGCCAGTGAAATGTGAGCAGGAGTAACGCGTGCCCCTTTTGAGCCTGGCCCATAAGTCTTCCAATGTGTCCTCCCCCATGGTCTCTTCTGCTTCTTCAGCTGGGACAGACAAGCCCCAGCAGATGTGGCTTTTAGTGCTATTTTGCCACTTACCTCAATAGGGTTGTGATGAGGACCAAATACGGCTATAAATATTTAGTGGAATTCCTACATAGAATTAGTGGTCAATAAATGTTAGTTTCTGTATTAGTATTATAGTCTTTGGATGCAATAGTAATCATATGGGGTAGGAAAAATGTAAGAAACCCCATATAATTCAGCAGATAGTACAATTATGTCTGTTTTCCTGTAGACAGGGTATTAGGCTTGCTGACGCTAGCAGACTTTTTTCTTTCTATACAGTTTCTTTGTTGATGAACCAGGATAATTCTAAGCCACCTTAAATAATATTTAAAGTACCATTATTTGTGAACTACTAAGCTAATGAAAAGCAGCTTAAACTGAAAATGATATGAGAGAAGCTTGGTTATAAAGATTATGAGAATTCTAAAGTGTGCTAGAACATCTTGCATTTCTACAACAACGTTCTATAAAAGAGCCCCACAACCTCTTTTCCCCTGTTTATCTGTACCTGATAAGAAAGCCTGGGCACTCTTTTCTGTGGAGTCAGTAGGAAGTTCTGAATTGTATGTGGGAACACTCCAGCTTCACCTCTTCATACCAAATAAGCCAAGCCAGTCTCGTTTCTCTGATCTCTCAATTCATTCTTGAACTGCTGGAGAGCCTGTCCTGCTATCCCCAGAAGGCCTCATTTTAAACTTTTTTATGCTTTCTTCATGCATATATCATTCATCTTGACATCCAGACCAAATCTTGGGTGAAGGGTCCATTCTGTCTCTGTGGAGTGATCACAACAGTTGGCCCTGTGAATAGGACTGGAGTCAATAATACTGCTTCAATGTTGGTTCACTAAGGATAAAAATGTACCATACTGCTGTGAACATGTTACTAGCAGGGAAATTGTGTGCAGGATATGTATTATCTTCACGATTTTTCTATAAATCTAAAATTGTTCTAAAATACAGAGTTTATTTTAAGAAACTTAAAATAGTAGGTAACGATGAGAGATGGGAAACAACAGGATGCCCACTGACTGGGGGCGGCCATGGGGAACTGGTGGGAGGAAACACTCCTTCCCTGCCGGGGGCACCATGGGAACAGACCTGGAGGAGTGCAAGGTCAGGTGGGGAGCCTCCCTTTAGGGGGTGCTGAGGAAGTTCCCCCATCTCTAACCAGAATATCTGGACTCCTGGGCTCCTTCCCCTGCCCACTTATGGATTTCCAAGGGTGGGGCTTTGCGATGTCAAGCCAGCCCATGGCTACCATTGGCTGGAGGACTGTCCTGCTGACCAATCAGGTGAAGGGTGTGGCTCCTCATTGTCTTGGGAGGGTATAAATAGAGGGGTCAGGGAGCCCTAGCCGGCTCTTAATGAAGATGGCAGATCTTGTTACCTATGCTGCAGAAGGAAACTGGCGGGAGCCACGAACATCCGGCTCCCAGCAACCAGTGGAGGAAGAGGAGGGTGTCATGTCAACCCTTGGGTACATTAGCTCAGAAGGCTTAAGTAAGACATCCAAAATACTAGGTAATATGCTGCATTATTCACAGTAGGCAAGATATAGAAACAAATTAAATGTCCATCAATAAATGAATAGATGAAGAAGATGTATATATTTACAATGTGAGGCAGAGGAAGAGAAGGTCAGTTTACCCAGCAACCAGTGGAGGAAGAGGAGGAGGATGTCATGTCAACCCAATGCAGAGGAGGAGGAGGTCAGTTTACCCTGTTCATGTGCCAACTCTTCTTTCCCATCCGTCTCCCACCAAAGACTCTTACCCTGCTCTTGCCTGGCACAAAACCCCTCCTCAACCCACACCCATTCTCTGCAAGTCCACTTTCCCATCTATTTTCCATCCTCTCCCCCAAAACTAATTCCTTTCTGGGCCTGCCTTTTTTTTCCTACCAGGTGATAAAGATAGTGACAAGGAAAACCAAAGTCACAAGAACCACTGAGATTAAGCACGAGGAAATGAGAAAGTCCACCACAGTAAGCGCCTGGTACAAGCAGTGTAAGAGTAAGAAGGCAAAGAATGAAGGCCGCCCTCAAGAGCCTTCCAGGCCATATGCCCACCTGCTATGAACTGAGGCAGTGACCACATTCTTGCCTGAAACTACAAAGAGAAACGGTCCCTTAAGAGCATGATAAAACTCTACCAATGGTCACTGTGTGAAGACCAAATAAAGAACTTGTGTTGGTGATGAAAACACCAGCAGTTGCCAAAAGGAGTTGTGTGTCTTTGTTCTCTGATGATAGGGTGGGAAGGAAGGGAAGGGACAGGTGTGTCGGAAGGGGGAGAGGTGGAATCCTGCAAGTTTGGGGCCCAGACCAGCCAGCCCACAGTCAGCCAGTCACTGGGAATAAGGACAAGGGGGAGGACTGAGCACTGTGAGGACAAATTTCCTCCTTAATACTTTATCCCACTTGCAGGGAAGAAAAAGACTTGGTGTTTCTGTGTGTGTGTTGTGGGGGGTGCCTCAGTTGGGGGAGGGGTGATATATGGGGGTGGCAGTGTATAATAATGAATTTGACTCCATTTTTTATATTTGAATAGGGACAGCTTTTAAGCCTCATTTCTTCTCCTCCTGGCCCACATCTGGGCAAGCTGATGAAAACAGCCAGGGAGTTACTGAATGAAAAATAGAAGAAAACAGATATGCCTGAACTTAACCAGTGGAAGTATTGCCTTGCCTGAATTCCCCACAGCCAGAGCACCCACTGCCCTAAAATATCCTCTAGTACACATGGACGGTCTGAGGCAATGAATAATTAAATGAATTCCTTGGCACTTATGATCAGCTTGAAGAAAAGTGACCTTTTGGACCTTCCTCCCTAGTTAAAAAGCACTTTCCAGCCCAGTTGAAAAAAAAAGACCCCATCAAAGTGAAAACAGGGCCTTCCTAGATTGAAAACCATTATATGAGACCTATTTAGGGAAGATGCGAGTATTCCCCTGCTTCTGCACTTAAGAGCCAAATTTGACTTGTTCTTAAACCTGGAAAATGTAAGTGGTGCTTCAGTGTGAATATTCCTGTTCTAGGGCTTCATCTATATTACCAAAGTTACTGATTCCACCCACTGAGTAACTGGTAAATAATTTGCAGTCATAGCAAAGTACTTGGCTAATGCCTGGGGGAGTCATAATAGGGATTCCTCTAAGAGGCAGCCGGGCAGAAGCTATGTCAGTGAGCAGAGAGCCTGACTAGGCCCAAGGAGGCTACAAGCAGAGCACCCAGAAAGAGAGTGATTCCAGAGAACTGAGAGACCATGAAGATGGGAAAAGACACTCTGTTCTGTGAGTTACACTTCTGTATATTTGTTTTCTAAAATGTCTCAAATGTGGTTACAAGCCTGGACAACCAGTTCACTGAAGGCTATGCTTTCCTACGTGCAGGGGTAGGTGGCACTTAATACCAAGGGAAGGATAATATTCCTCTAAAATAACCAGGGAAATTGTCTCTTCAGTAGAAGGCTTAATACATAATTGAAATAACATTGGTTACAAATGTTAGTGGATGAGTACACACTAAGTAGGCAACTAGTGAGCACAGCACGCAAATTCTCTCCTTTCACTGTGGACTCTCATACCATTTTATTTGACGTTCAATACAACCTCATGAGGAAGAGGAAATTAAGGTTCTTAGAGTTCAGTAACTTGCTAAAGATAACACAGCTATGTGGCAGTGCTACAACTGAACCCAGATGCAAAACCAATACTCTTCAACCTTTTTCTCATCACCCCTCAAATAGGAAGTTAGGAACATAATAGGAAATTCTATGGTGATAGTCAAGTTCATGATGGAAACAAAACTATGTTATGGGATTCCTTTCCCTTTGCTATTAAAAAGAATTTTTTTCTAATGTTCTAAGAAGGCATTTGCTCATTTAGCTTGGGGAAAGGAAAATAGGTCCTATTCTGTGGTATTAATTTCTTTAAAAATTTATTTAAAAATGATCAATAAGCACAACTTATAATGACTATTTGACTTTTGGATAATTTTTCTTTGCTTAACCCTGGATAGAAGAATCAATTTTTTTCCCCACAGAAAAGGTGAAAAAAGCAAAATTAATCAAGAACCAACAGCAACTTAATTTAGTATGGTTTCCATTAGAGCATAAAACACTCTAATTGCCCACTTTTAAATTTAAGTACAGGGAACAGAATATTTTTTCATAAGAACAAATAACATGAAATACTTTTAGTTCATTATGAAGGCTGGACAAGTATAAGATGTGGTAGAAAAAATATCTGGAAAAGGACAGAGCTAAGAGACTCCATCCCTGACAAGCTCGTAGGAGCTATGCTCTATTTTCAGTTCTGGATTACTTGGCTGCATGAAACTGGGCAAACAATAGAGAGTTAGAAACTACAGAAAATAGAAGCTTCATATCAATGAGGAAATGAAGCCTCACTCATAGTAAATGACTTGCCAACCATCAAACAAATAGTGGAGAACTAGGGCTGACCCATGCTTCACTCATTTAACTTCTAGGTGCCTCAGTTGCCTAGTCTATAAAATGATGGAATATGAATAGGAAGCAACCTGATATCATCGAAGGACCACTTGACTTGGAGATCAATATCCTGGATTTAAGCTCCCTTCTCCAACACACCCACCTTAGGCAAATCCATATCTCTTATTCAGTTTTCACAAATTCTAAATTTGAAATCAAAATTTCTATCCAAGCTATATCACAGAGATGTTGAGAGAAACTAATAAGATAATGTACAGGCAAGAACATTTGAAAACAGTGGAACACTTCAGAGGAGCAAAGGAATTCCAATAATGGGGATGATGATAAATCCTCTTGCTTTCAAATTCTAGTTGGAAGGGAGAGCTTGCATTTGGAAGGAGTGAAAGAAGTTACATTGGTAGAATGAGGGACACATTATGGACACTCTTAAAGGATGAAATGTGAGTTCAGATGGCTTTTTAAAGATAGAGTACAATTGGTAAGATTGTCAAATAAAATACAGGATGCCCACTTAAATTTGAATTTTAGATAAACAACAGATCATTTGTTTGTATAAGTACGTCCCAAATATTGCATTGGACAAACTTGTGTTAAATTATCTGTCATTTATCTGAAATTTAAATTTGACTGGGTGTACTCTATGTTTTTTAACTAAATCAGGCAATGCTAACAAATGAGGGATTTCTTTGAAGGGTAACAAGTGACATATGAAAGCAATGGTTCAGGACTATTATAGGAATATGGGGATCAGGAAGGACTGGAAGCAAGGAGACTATTCTGGTTTGGGTTCCCTAACCAGATCAGCTTGATCTAAAAATGAGCCTAAGAAAGGATTTAAGGGCAGTAATTTATATGAGAGGTGAGGCCAGGAAACTTAGTAAGGAAGGGAGAAAAGTGAAAGCCACTCTAAGGGTACATTATGTAATTCACTGCTGTAGGCAGCGAGGACTGGATTCCACTGGTTTTAATGAAAAACCTACCAATGACTTCTAGGAGGAATGATACAGCATTTATCCAACAGCTCCCAGCCCCCTACCAATTAAGGGTTTCCCCTAGGGTGTTGTTACTCCCAGGAGAGGAAATCCTGGGGCAAAATACCTCTAAAACTGAAATCAGTCAAAGGGAGAAATAAAGTTTAAAACCCGTTTATAGTTTACAAACTTCGGTCTGGGGGCCGTCTCTCTCCTGCTCTAGCAGAAGCAAGCGAAACCTCCCCCCAACTTCTCAGGTTCAAATAAGCCCTCGGTTGCCCAGGTAATTATCCACTGATACGGAGATGAACTATTTCTCTCCACCCCTTAGGAACACCTGTTGATATGGAGATGCACTAAAGCCAGACGAGAGATTCTGGAAATACTATAATTTTACCCACAGGCCACCCCTCCAGAAATCTTGCCTTACAATCTACTTGTTCCCCCTCTTCAGCAATGGTCCTTGGGAGAGAAAACTGGAGCATTGTGACCAGACTAATGACATACAATAGCAACAGCAATAAAATCATGATAATCCTCAAGCTGGAGGATTCAGCTAAATTCAGACTACTATGCAGATTAAGTCCATAGCTCGCCCATTCCAGCAGGCAGGCGGTAGCTGAAGAGGTAGGGGGTTCAGAGCAATTATCACATGGCAGCCACAGCAAGGGGGTGCATCCAGGCCACAAGGACTGTGGAAGAAAATAACCTGAAGGGCGATAAGATACATGTTTTAATCACACCAGCATAGGCAAATCTTGCCCATCAGGTAGGATACATGCAAGAGAGTGGTCTTGTGCTAAAACAGTGGCAGGAATGGGATCTCAACCTGGTCTAGTATACCACATCTTCACCCCCCTCCTTGTGGGAGATACAGATGTGTCGATATATAGGACTATGGAGGTACATGCACTGGCCATAAAGATAAAACAAAATGTCCCCGTAAGATGCTCTTACCTCCTGGACATTTTGGGTGCACTACCATGACCTTTGGGGGCCATTCAGCTGTTACTTCAGGAATACACATGAGGCCAGCTTCCAGGCCTTTTCTCCAAGTTGCCAGAAGGGCCAGCCATGGCTGGTCCATATGTCAAAATGTCCAGGGCCACGTCCATTCAACAGAGTCTCCAGGGTTTAATGCAGTAGGGGCTGGCAGCAGGATGTTGCTCTGCTGGTCATATCTGGGCTTTAATAACTCCTCTTTGGTTTGCACATACAATTGTGCAGAAGAGGCAGCAGTGTGTGTTAGTGTGTCCATGACGCTCAAGGCTCCTTTTCAGGGCTTCTCATTCAAACGCTGTAGCACTGTCCATAAGCACTGTCCACTGGTGTCTGACTTCAGACCAGATTTCAACAAACCACTGTATCTCTCTAACATGCCTGCCCCAGTAGGGTTATATGGTACATGAAACTTCCACTTTATTGCTAATTGCTGTACCCATCCTTATAACGCATGTCCAGTAAAGTGGGTGCCTTGATCACTCCCAATCACCTGTGGCTGGCAAGGCCCCTTTCGGTGGTTTGCTGATCTGCGTGATGTGCAGGAAAAGCAACCAACAGGCCAGTAGCCATGTCCACACAAGTCATAGCATACCAAAATCCTTCTGATATGGGCAGAAGCCCAATATAGTCTATCTGCCACCTGACAAGGGGTATCAGCGCCTTTACTATTGTCCCATGCTGCTGCAGGACTCAATGTAAGTCCCTCTTAGAGCACACAAGGCAGTCCTTCCGGGCTCTTCTGACTTCTTCAAAGGTCAGTGGCAAGCCCCACTGATGAGCTACAACCCACACTGTCTTTTGCCCTGCATGCAACAAACGCTGGTGTAGCCATTGGGCCACATCAGAGGCAGGCTTTCCTTCTAGCCAGCCCACCTGGGCCAATGTGTCTGCTTTATCATTCCCTGGGGATGCCAAAAGCAAATGGCCAGTCACATGATATACAGTAAGTCTTAGTTTGACCAGAGGCCCATAGGTCTTGCCCCCAAAGGGGCGGGTGACCAACCATCCAGTTGGCATGGTAGCCACAGGGTCAAGCCCTGATAGACAGCCCAGCTGTCAGTATAGATAACTATAGGGGAGGGCTGCTGGGCTATCATGAGCCATACTGCCTGCAACTCAGCCCATTGGAGGCCCTTCCCCTCTCTGTCCTCCTTCCATATTGTCTCAGTCTTAGGATGGAAAGCCACAGCCCTCCACCTCAGGGACTGCCCATGACTGGAGCCATCTGTATACCAAGCATCTTCAGGTACAGGGGCTTTTCCCTCCTGATAAGGACTCTTGGCTACCAATGGCTCAAAAGCAAGTTCTTCCTGGCTTCCACTGGTATAGGTCACTGGCCCCAATAAGTGTTGGAGTTTTCCACTTAAGGGGCTAGTTGAGAGGGCGCTATGCTGCTCTAAATATGTGCCCCATTTGGCCAGTGTAGGTGTCTGTGCCATGCCACTCCGTGGCCTTTGGGTCCAGTCTCACGCCCACCTCATGATGGAATAGGTGGTTATTACCTTGGTTGGAGCTGTTACGGCGATGGGCTCCATAGCCAGGAAAACATGGTACACAGCAGCCAGTTGTTTCTCTATCAAGGTGTACTGGACCTCTGCTCATTTCCATAGTTGTGACCAGAATCCAATAGGTTGGTGTATCCATTCAAGCCACTGCCAAAGACCCCATCCATAACCATCTTCAGTTACATGAACATCTAGCTCACAGGGCCTTGATGAGTCCATTACATTCAAGGCCTGTATGGCTTGACTGCTCACTTAGCAGCATAAAAGCACCTACACATGTCTCATCCCAGTCCCATCTGATGCCCTTTCATACCAACTGGTATAAGGGCTTCAGAATTTGT